GGTGAGCAGGGGGAAGGCAGGGAGGTGAGCAGGGGGAAGGCAGGGAGGTGAGCAGGGCCATCATGGCTTACGCTCAGCGTGTTCTCTATGTTGACCAGCCAGCCATCGAAGCGGTAGTGCTGGGCGATGCGGGCGAGCTGCTCGGCCACAGCTCCGTAAGCCTCCTCCCCACCGGCCAGGAACGCCTCACACAGCTTCTCCCCGTCCGTCCACTCCGTGATGAACGTGCCTGGGGAGACGGCAAGGGCAGTGTCAGCCACACGCCCCAGTGAACCCACTGCGTGCCTGGGGCTGCCCCAGGCTCAGCCCTGCCCTCACCCAGCACAGGGACACCGTTCCGGTGCGCCGCGTTGGTCCAGACCACGGGTGGGATGGTGACATTGTGGTGGCTGAAGTAGACGAAGATGTCGATGTAGCGCCAGTGGTAGAAAACGTAAGGGTTGCGTGTGGCTGAGCCCTGGATGAACCTGCAGAGAGGGAAGAGGGTTGGGCAGTGCAGGAAGGACGCTGTCGGATGCTGTGGGGCTGGGTAGGAGCCTGACTCACACTTAGAGCTGCGTACAGCTGTGGCACTGAGCCAGCCCTGAACATCCCAGCCCGAGCAAGGCTGCCGAGCACTGGCACCAAGAGCCAAATGCCCCATCCCTGCCCACCTGTGGCTGAGCCGGAAGGAAACACATCATCCAGAAACAGAACTGGTTTGGGGTTTGAAAAATCAAGCCCTGCTGCCACATCTGCCCTCCACCCAGCGTGTACCTGTCCTCCAGGTACCCGCCACGCATGTCATGGCACACCAGCGTCCGGGGCCTCCTGCTGTGGAGTGGGGGCTGGCGCTTGGCCAGCGGCACGGCCGAGATGTTGAAGTCGTCATTGCTGTTGGGCTGCCAAGCCAGCAGCTCCTCCAGGCCGGACAAGAAGAAGCTGATGGGTTCCGTCGTCTTTGTGTCGAAGTACCTCGCTGGGGACGGTGGGGAGACAGGGGACAGGGTCAGCAGGGAGCACTGCCTGTGCAGCTCGGCACCGGCACCATCCCAGCAGGGCCCCAGCGGTGCAGCGGGCCCCTCTCACGGTGCCTCACCTGGCAGGGGCTGCGGGCGGTCATTGATGGTGTCGTGCAGGACGGTGGTTCCCCGGGTCTCCGCCGCCGGCTGGAAGCTGCCCCGGGATGGGGGTGAGTGCCGGGTCGGACCAGCACCGCGGTCAGCGCCCTCCTGGGCCCCGCGAGCCCGGGCACCTGTCCCCATGCCGGTCCCCACCCCTATCCCAGTCCCAATCCCCATCCTGGTCCTGGTCCTGATCCCCATTCCGCTCCTAGTCCCGGTCCCCACCCTGGCTCCGATTCCCATCCCGGTCCCCGGCCCAGCCCCGGTCTGGGTCCCAGTCTTGACCACAGCACCGACCCCGGTCCCGATCGCCACCCCGGCCCCCGCCATCCACCTCCTCCGCCGCCGCCCGGCCCGCTCCGCCTCGGCCGGCTCCTCTGCCCCGGCCTCGGTTCCCGTCCTCTTCCCGCGCCTCCCGGGCCCCTCCGGCGCCTCCGCCATGGCGCTGCTGCCGCCGCCGCTGCCGCACTGACGGCGTGGCCGCCACCGGGCCCGGCTTTCCCGGGGGCGCGGCCCCGCAGCTCCGCCCTCAGCGGCCCCGCACCGCCCCCGGCCCCGCACCGCCCCCGGCCCCGCACCGCCCTCAGCGGCCCCGCACCGCCCCCGGCCCCGCACCGCCCCCGGCACCGCCCGCCCCTGCGTGTCCCGGGGCGGGACGTGTCCTGGGATGCACCGCCAGTCCCGGAAAAGGGACGCGTGTCCTGGGATGGGACATGTATGCTGGGATAGAACATGAGTCCTGGGATGGGATGCATGTCCTGGGATGGAACCACATGTCTCGGGATGGACTCTGTGTTCTGGGATGGGACATGTGACCTGGGATGGCACAAGTGTGCTGGGATAAGGGGCCATGCATCCCAGGATGGGGATGTGTCTCCTAGGATGAGACATCTGTACTGGGCCCGGGCTGTGTGTCCCGCAATAGAACATGTGTCCCAGGATAGGATCTGTGTGCTGGGATGCAACCTGTATCCCAGAGCAGGCCCAGCTGTGCAGACTGGAATGGAAATGGTACCTGGTCCTGAGGGGCTGGTGCTGCCAGGAGGCTTTGGCCCTGCCATGGGACTAGGCTGGGGACCTGGGTTGCTGCCCACGCCACACAGGCACAGCAGTGGATGCCCTGACCAGCCTCACCTGGACATCCTCCATCCCCAACCTCCCCACCTGTGGGGCCAGGACTCTATTTAAGTTCAGCCTGAGCCCCTCATCTTTTCTCTGGTGTGTTTGGGATGCTGGTCTCCAGCTGCAGCCCTGCTCAGCCCAGCCACGGACCTACCATTCCAGACCCTGACCCCCAGCTTCACCTCAGACCTGCCTCTTCTCTGGGGATGTGCCGGATGACCTGGACTCTTGACGGCCCTCCCCAGCCTGCCCTGTTCCCAGGCTGGCAGTTCTGTCACTGTGCTGAGCTCCCAGCCCTCAGGACGCAGCTGGCCCTCCTGCAGACCCAGGACAGGACCCCTGCCTCTCCAGGGACAATCTAAACTTCCCTCTCCACTCCCAGCTCGACAGCGCTGTACCAGCCCATGGCTCTGGAGAAGCCCCAGCACGCCAGGAACAGAAACGTTGGGAGCCCTTTGGAGCCTCCAAACATACAAAGCAAGAGGAAACTGAGGGTGCAAGCAAGGCTGGAAATGTGGGGTGTTTAATGTAGCACGAGCTATACAGAGGGGTCAGAATGCTGCCCCATGCCATTGCGGCATCTACACAAACAAGAAGCCTGGCCAGCAGATAATCTAACGGAAGAGGAAGTGGCTGAGGCCAAAGGCTCTGTGCTCAGGGCTGCCGGTGGGGAGCCAGCCCCTCCCAGGCAGAGGCTGAGTGAGCAGTGACGGGACCCGCAGAGGGAACTGACACAATCTGTTCCCACCAAGGGTATGCAACGCCCACCCCACTGGCCCCCAGCTCTGCAGAAAGAAAAGGGGCCCTTAGTGGTTTATTGCCTTTCCTGATGGCGCTGAGCACCTTCTGCCCATTCAAGGCAGGGAACACAGCATGGTGCATGGAGGAGGAACATGGTGCACGTGTCTGAGCTGGCTTGCACCAGGGCATGAACAGTCACACTGTTCCCCTGGTGCCACCGGCTCAGCCGGTGCCACAGTGGGCTGTGCCCAGCAAACCCAGCTATGGAGCAGGTGTGGGGGGCAGGGAGAGAGCTCCCTGCCCACCCCAGGTGAGCAGCTGCTTCCCAGTCACAAATGTGGCAGGGGCTGGAAATGGCTCCAACTCCTCCAGGTGTGTCTGATCGGTCTCAAGAAGCTGGAGTGAGGGAATTCACACATTGAGGCAGCTGCTGAGGGTAGTGGCAGTAAGGTGGGTGGATAACAGCATATTGGGGGTGGCGTGCCCAGGATGAGAGGGCACAGGGGCTCCTCGGCCACCCGGCCCAGTGTACGAGGAATGGGGGGGGGAGCTGGTGTTCAGGGGTCTCCACTGTACTTGATGAGGTGGCCAGTGAAGGTGATGTAAGTGTCATACTCATCGCTGAAGATGGCATTCTCACGCTCGCCCTTGTAGAGCCGCACCCAGACCTCGTCCTGCTCCTGCAACTCCAGCATGACGCTCTGGCTCTGCATGATGCTGCGGTCACTCACCTGGGCGTAGAGGATCACCACTTCTGCCCCATTGTGCATGATGTGCAGGTATGTCTCCTTCTGGTTCCAGGTGTGCACATTGAGGCTGAAGTAGTAGATCCCAGGGACATAGCAGTAAAACTTGCCCGTGAACATGTTGAAGTGGCTGTAGAGGTTGACAAACTCCGTGTCGAAGATGAGGGTCTGGTAGTAGTCATTGCTGTGGAGGGGTTTCTTGCGGCCCACTGAGAAGGCGGCGTAGTGGTTCTTGCAGCGCTCCCCCGGGGCGCCCACGCTGCCCTTCTGTCCCTTGGGCCCCGCGTGGCCCCTGCTGCCGGCCACCCCTGTCTTGCCAAACTTGCCCTGGATGCCGCGCTCGCCACGGTCCCCCTTCTCCCCTGGGCAGAGCAGGAGG